GATAACCATCTGATGACTAGGAACAGAAAAGAAGAAGCTGCTGGAAATTACTCAGAGGGAGGTGGGAGTATGTAGAAATCTAAGAGAATATTACATGTGAAGAATTATATATGCCTTTGATAAGCAGAAGTACTGAACCACAGTTACTGATTTAATAAAAATAGGTTTTAATCAATAACTGAAGCAGAAATTATCCTAACTAATGCTAAAGAATCTGAGATACCATCAACTAAGGAAGACCTAGAAATCTTAAGTCAAACACAAAGGGCTTGGATAGATGGTAGCTAATGAAAACAGTATGGGATTTGTAAAATAATCAGATTAAATAATGCTATAAGAGGGGAAAAAGTAGGAAATGCCATCTGGATTTGTGCTGCTGGAAGACTTAAGCAAAGAATAGAAAAAAGACAAAACACATCTGCAATTTCTAACATTTGAACATACCAAAGAAGGCAGGGGAAAAAGCAAAGGAAATTATGAATAAGTTATGCACATTTGAATGCTGACAGGCAGAGAAGAAGCAATGTGAATTATATGAATGTCACAAGTTGTCAATACAAAAAACACTGTTAAAATAAAAAAAAAGACATGAAGCAAACAGCAACCACAGTCATGAGAAAAGCAGTGTTTCTAAGTGAGACCAGAAAATAAAATGGATTCAATGGTTAAAAAAAAAGCATATAAACATTTTCCTACCATTCCTAATGAAGGCAATTAAGTTACACACATATCCGTTCATTTCATGAATACAGGATAAAAATATTCTTAGATAAAGTAAACTAACTTTCGTATTTTCCCTTCTAGAAGGTTCAAAAATCTAAGGTACAGGCTGTTACAAGAGTCCCTAGTCAAATTTATTGGTAAAACATATTTTGTCAATGTTATAATCATTCTATATACTCCTGTGTTTTGCAGCATCAAGACCACAAAAACAACAACTTTATAACAGAAATTAATAGAAATATATAAATAAATAAATAAATAAATAAAATAAATAGAAATTAATTTGCCAATTCAGAAATTAACCAGAGTCCTACCACACTGTTAAGGTAGGTATGTCTGGCTAATCCTTACTATCAATTTTTCAATGTCCACTACATGATATGTGGTCACTTCATGAAGTCAGAAGTGAAAACTCCAGTTACAATGGAATCAGCCTGGTTTCATGCAAGTACGAAAGCTTGCTTTGCATAAAAGTTTTGAAAATTTCAGTACAAGTGATCTGAGCATCCTGCTTGCTTATGCTGTCCTACTAGCCAATGTCTAAAAGGTACCCATATTTAACAGGCTCAGCATCTATACTAATAAGCTATGTTAGACACACAAAGTAGCATTTTACACTTTTATATAAAACTCAATCTCCAATCTGGCAGTAATGCTAACCCCACCCTCCCACACCCCTGCCTGCCATACTATTATGATACTGCGTTCATTTTAAATCTATAAAAAGAATTGAATAGAAAATACTAACAACTCACAAAAATGCTATTTTTAAAATACCACCATTCAGTAAGTACTTGTGCCAAACGTTACTTTTAGCTTAATCATTTTAGCACATCAAAGATTAACTCTAATATCTGACAATAATGTAATCAATACAAAAAAAGCCAGAAGCTGAAGTCTTTGAGCACTTGGGCAAAAAAAACACAGATGACCAGCAGAACCAGTCTTTGAATTCAGAAATTCTACCTGATGAGTCAAATCATCATGTAAACATTACATACTTTCAGTGGAATTAAAATGCCAAATTGCAGGAAAAATGGACTAGACTGGGAAAAAAATCACATATTAGCACTTAAAAACAATTAGAGTAATCACTTCTCATCTTCATTATTACTGTGTCAATTATATGTTGAAGATACCAACTTCAAAAAGTTTTGATTATTTGTTTACTTCTGGAAAGACTTTAAAGTCAGTCCTTATCTTTTCTGCAATATAGGTCAATCAAGAATAAGGTAAATGTAATCTACATAATTTGTGTATCAGTTTTCAACCACAAGAAAAGGTGACTTGAGAAGGTCGAATTGGGTAGAAGAAATGCTTGGGAAAAAAAAAAAAAATAGTTCTTTATGTTTTCTTTTTCACCCAAGCACAAGTTAAAAAAAAAAAAAAATCCTGGTATTTCAGTCTGACTGTAATAAATAGAGGCCTAAATGTTAAGCTTTCAAAATATCCCAGTTACTCTCTAGTACCCAGTTCTATGTGGAGTTCCTCATGAAATCCCTCTGTGCTCCTCATTAGATTTGGATGCTGATTACAAAGTGCAGGAAAAATATTATTTTGTAGCACTAGGACAAATGAGGAAAAATAAGCTACATACACTTGGCTAACAAACTTGCCTTCCCCTTCAAGAGAGGGGCACTGAAGATTGAAAGAACTACCCAGCTCAGATGGTATGTTTGTTCTCACCTGGAAGCAGACCTGTTCTGACAGCTACAGATTAACAACTGTCAGTTTGCTGGTTGGTATCCCGCTGCTAGAGCTGTTGTGATGGAGACTCCTAAAAACATCAGCTGCTGTGTATGGCTTAATTTTCACTCAAATCCATAATGACAAATATTTATATCTCCTTTGTGAGCTATCCTGAAGTGTTCTTAGTTTTCAGAGCTGTTGCCAAGAGCTTCTGGATTCTGTGATAAAACAAGCATGCCCACTACCATTGTATTCTGATAATTTACAAATGAACAAGGCAACCATCAAGGACATCACTTTCACAGGTCTGCTGCACAAGAATAATGTGTGCATCACATTTCCCCTCCATCTACAGGCACTGTTCCCGTGCAAGATCAGGGCAAGCACAGATTTGGAGTTATACTGTTTCTATTCCCTTCCAACCCATGCACTTCTGGTAGAAGATGCAAAGGACACAAATAATATCACACAACTTCAAAAAAAAAGCAAAGGTATAGCCTTAATGTGCTTCAAAACAATGATAATTACAAAATGTAACAGCAAACATTCTTTGACATTTTCTTCTTCTTCAACGTAACAAAGATAGAAGTCATACCCTGACATAGAGCAAGGTTGATTAAGTTGCTTGTACAGAAGCAATCAAATTGCTTACAGACAGCATGGCTTTTTTAAAAAACAAACAAACAAGCAAACAAAAAAAAACAAACGGAAAACAAGCCCTGTTTAGTTTAATATGCCATAAAATATGAGCTAATCTACTGCAATTGATGAGGCTTTAAAAGTCCCATTAGCAGAAATTTTCATCTTAAGAGGAGAGCAGGGACCAGTACAGCCACTCATGGCAGCCAAACACTGTGATGTTTCTATCCCTGTCTGCAGATGCCTGTTCCTAGAACGTACCACAACAGAGAAGGAACTTAAGTCATTCCAGGTGACCTATGTGAGCTCTCTGAACACATCTACCCAGTTTATGTCCTGACAGGATGCTAGAAGTCCAAAATAATGCTGGCATGATCCTCTAACCAGCTATTCAAGTACCGAGTACTAGTTACTAATAATGAATATGGATTAAAACATGAATGCATATACAGCTGTGGAAAAAAAAAATATATATGTAGTAATAACACATTGCAAATTTGGAAAATAATTTTTCTCCCCTTCTCATCCTTACTCCTCCCAGGAAGGTGGGAAATTAACTTCATGACAGAGCACTCACAATTTCTTCAGTCTCACATCTACAGTACAAAGCCGGCATACTGCAGATACTTAGACTGGAACTATGACTACTGCCTAATTACTTTTAGCCCTGCATCTAGGTAAGTCAGGTCACCAAAATTCATATTAACCTAAGGAAAACTTTAATTTCTTTCACCACCTCCAGTATGTTTTATGGCAAAAAACCTCAGAGGAATGAGGTAATTATGAATCTGTTTAAACTACTTTGACGCTGAGATGTTCCAAAACTGGTTTTGACCTAAAGAGGATTTGTTAGGTTAGAGAAATATCTCTGGATTCAAACTTGAAGAAGCTTTAACACTGTAAGCATCTCTTCTAAAAAAAATTCTAAGGAGATTTACTAGAAGCAGAATGTATTGATAATGTTCCATCCTGTGAACATCAGTATGAAAAGTTACTTCATTTTCAGGTTTAACGGGAAGACAGTACAATTTCTCTGAAGCCTGGAACTTCTTAGATAATTATTACAGTTATTATCATAGAAGACTAATAGAAAACCAATGTATTTCTAATGTGCTTTAGTTACTATACAGGCAGCACAAAGGTGTGGGAGCACCATTCTGAATCACTTTTTGACACTTTTGTTCATTGCACTCTATAAAAAGTTTTCTCTAAAGATTAAACTATATTTTAGAATTAGTTTCCTTCATCAGTATTCATGATTTTTATTTGCTTTTATTGAAAATGTAGGTAGTAAAATTTCTTTGCGATTTGTACCAAGAACTGGTTTCTAAGACACCTTCATCTAATGAAGATTAATGACATTACATGGGAGACCAATATTGTCCAAGATCTCAGAGTAATAAGAAATAATAATAATAAAAAAAAAGTAATCTGAAAGCTATGCTTTCTTATAATTAATTTTAAGAGAAAGAGGAAAAGTTTTGAAAAAATACATTCTCTAATAGTTTTTCACCACTGGACTCTCTCCTCAAGTACAATCTCCCACACTCAAGAAAAAACTATTACTTGTATTTCAGTAACACCAAATGATTTGTCAGACAAAGCAAATATGAAAAGAACCATAGAGAATAGCAAGACAAACCTAGTACCAGGTAAAAAGAGAACTGCAAAAAGCTATGAGTTGCAGAGTAACCACCTAAACTTTCCAAGAGCACAAAACTGAGACAGTAAAAGCTGCAACCTTGAGAATGACATATCAAGTGTTTCTGACTATTATATATAATTTATAATTATATATAATTTAATATATAATTATATATCAGAAGCTTATATCAGAAGTGAATGTGCACACTGGAAATTAAGAACACTGTTGGGTATTAATAAAGACACTGAAAAAAAATCTCCATAATTTACAGAGGACCAGAAAATGCCTCAGCAATCCCACTCACCTGTCTTCACTAAAACGTCGACCAACCAAAATTTTACATTTGTCTGGAGGGAGACAAGCCGCTAGCAAAGGTACTGTCCTTAACACTCGACTTTCCTGTAAAAAAGAAATGGTACTTCTGAGTAAAATCAAGGATGGCTTCTATGAATTTAATGTAATGTTTCCACTTACTTTCAAGTTCTGTTGACTACAGACACAGAAAAATATCTTACCAGATAACAGAAAAAAAAAAGATCTACAAGAAAAAATACCCAATTTTGATGCATTCAGACTGTATTGTTTTGATTGACAGTATTGAACTTAGTCTTAATTAACCTGTGATCATCAGCATAAATTTGAACTAGGCTATCAGAATCAAAACCAACAAAATTTCACAGAATAATAAACAGTAGGCAAAAAAACAATGTAAGTATTAATGTAATAGGTTGGCGAGCTAAAGTCTCTATAAGGGAAAACGAGGGGAGGGCTTGATTTCCACAAACGTGCTAAAAAATAAAAGCACTTGAAGTATCAGAACAGACAGTGTGAAATGCAAACACCTCCACTCTGCTGTCACTTCACAGTAACCAGAACAGTGGCACCAACACTGCTACAAGTACTCCATCTTGTGCCATTCAGGCTGTGTTGACCAAGCATCTGCCTACATCTTTTTGCCACAGATGAGGAAAGCAACTCCTATGCCTGGGTGGGGAGCAGAGGCTCTTCAGATCTCAAACAGCACTGAAGAGAACCATGTTGGAGCAGGGCTTCAGAAAGTAGAGGAAGGGGGAAGTACTGCCAGCTGAAGCAAACCATCTACTTATCATACTTACCACACAAAGCCATTTATTTCTGTCTTTTTTTTTTTTTTTTTTTCTAAACACAACTGGGAACACACTGGTTTTTGTCTAGACAAGAAGTATTGCAAACTGAGCTTGAATATTTAGGATGTCAATTTTTATTTTCCCATCAAGGAAGAGGGAACATAGGTTTATCTTACATTTATTGCAAGATAACATCAGCAAGATAACATCAAAACAGCAAGATAACATCAAAAACTGAATGAAAGTTTTGCTTCATCACAAGAGGAACAAAGGAAGGTTATTAGCTGAATCTAGCAGGAGGCAAGACACTAGAGGTCAGGTGAGGATTACAAAAGCCCTAAACCCATCAAGAAATGAGTTCTTAAAATATTCTCAAACTGAATGTCTCATGATTCAGACAATGAAAATCCAAAGAGCAGTCCCTAAACCACAGGATTAATTAATGAAAACCCAGGGGAGTTTTGGTCTATCTTTTGATATCAACAATTCAGTATTTGTGAGCACGTAAGGCCTTGATTAGCTCTCTCCATCCTCTCTGGGTGGCTGTTACCTTCCACAAGTATCAACGTGCAGCTGCCTGTGGCTCTCGCATTGTCTTGCTACCAAACTGCTGTTAAATTAGTTCAGTGAAGACTTTTATCGCTGTTGCCTAAAACCTTTATTAATTTTGCTTTTTCTGATCCATATCTACTGACTGTCTATAGATAAAACATCATGGAGTTGAAGGAATAAGTTGTCCTGCTACATCCACCACCACTTTGCATGGCAGCAGCAGCATGATGTCTCATAGGGATAAACGAAGATCAAAGTACCTGAGGAGTAAATTGCTAGCATGGGGAGGGAGAAATAGCTTTCAAACTACCATTGATTTCTTCTATTTCAGCAAAGTGGAATAAGCCATCAATGATGGTACAGTATTATTTGTCTTTATTTCATCATAATTAAATAACACTCCAATTCACTAGTCAGAAGACTCCCTTCTTCATAACAATGTAAGAAGTGGCAATAAAGGAACTGGAAGAAAATCAATTATTTATCTCTGATAAGCAAAACCAAAAGAGGTATCATCAGTCAAGGGAAAGTCATTCAACTGTTCCCTCCAATGTCATATCATTACTTCAGAATTACCTTTCATATCAAATAAATACATTCTCTTACCAACAGAGAAAATGGAATTTTCCAATCTAAGAAACAATCCATGTTTACAGGAAGATAAAACACAAAATACAAAGCTGAAAGGAACTGTTTGAGAAAAGAAGCTTAAGAACAGGTAAGTCAAACTAACATTAAAAAAGGTTTAATTTGTTTACAATTTTCTTCATTAAAAACCATTTGTGTTTAACTAGACTATATATAACCTATTTGCTACCATATCTGTTGTTCTCCATTCCCTGGTTTGAAACTGAGGAGTTACTCTCTTCTTTGTTCTTCTCAGTGTTCTGACAGTAATTTGCAACTCTTTGTTTCCTTATTATTTGACCATTGAAGTACATAAATAGAAATAGGATTGGATGACTTATGTGATGGTTGACCTTGGTTGGCCTCCAGGTGCCCACCAAGCTGCTCTATTACTCCCCCTCCTCAGCAGAACAGGAGGTAGAAAACAAGATGAAAATGAACTCGTAGGCTAAAATAAAGGCCGTTGAATAAAGAAAAGCAAAGGCTGTGTGTGGAAGCAAAAGAAAAAACAGAAAGACTTTACTTCCTATCATCAGGTGAGGTCCAGCCACTTCCTGGGAAGTAGGGCCTCAGCACGTGTAGTGGTTTCTCCTAAAGACAAATACCTTAATAACAAAAGCCCCACCCCCTACTACCTGCTTTTATTGTGTGATATGGTAGGGAATACTCCTTTGGTCATTTTGGATCAGCTGTTTTGGCTATGTCCCCTCTCAATCTCTTGTCCACCCCCCAGCTGCTGGCCTTTGGAGGCACGGTTTGGAAGGACAACCCTGATGCTGTGGGAGCACTACTCAGCAGTAGCCCAAACACTGGTATGTTACCAACACTGTTCTAGCCACAAATACAAAGCACAGCACTGTAAGGGCTCCTATGGGGAAAGTTAACTCCATCCCAGCCAGACCCAATACAACTTACTTTTGTATTTGTTTTTTTCCTTTCCTGGGAATTAGAGGTACTTTTGGTCAGCTTAGCACTATTCATCTACAATGAACAGGACAGTTCTAACTAATAAAAGTATTTCTTAAAGCCAGCAGATACATACTTCCTTCATTTTTGTTTATGAATTGTTAGGACAATTAGCAAAAATTTTCCCCTCTTATTTGATTTTTATTGTTCAATAAGGAATACTATACAGAAAAACTATTATAATGAGCAATTCAAAGCTAATTACTGGAATTAGATCAATATATAAATTCTTTAAATACACACAACCTAAGTTTTCTTCTCAGATGCTTAACACTGAAAATTCTTACACTTTCATTACACATAATGGCCTACACTCTGCTGGAGATCACCCCAAAGATGATAAAAGGCAAAGGTAAGACAAATGCATACAGGAGTTTGTACACCCAGCTATGCCACTGACCTGACATAAGGTTCATAACAGTAGGCATGAGAAGGGAAAAACAACTAAACTATTTATTTTACTTTATGTATTTTTATATATATAATTATATACATAAAAATATGCAAAGAAGAAAAAGAAATTAGGCTAGGCAAATAACTCCTTCACCTTTCCACTAGTCCTGATGCTGGGTTTGGGATACTGGGTTTCCATATCCTTAGTTTTAAATTACTCTCATTATGAACAATGGTACACTAACACTATTCAGAAAACAAGTATCTACCACTTGACATGGAATGCTGAATTCTCTTAGAATTCCTTTACAAATAAAAAATTATTCATTTTTTCATGGTCCATTTATGCAAAACGGAAGCTGGATGGTAGGATTCCTCACCTGGGATCCACTGCTCTGCAGTAAGTGATGCCTCTCTCTTTCACAGTACCTGATAACTGCACAGGTCTATCTGGCAGTATGGCCTCTGGATAGTAAGAATCTGGAGACACAGGCACATTATTCAGAGCACAGGAAATGTTGCTCCTGACTTCCTACATTACTATCTTGCCTGAATATACATCTGAATAGCATCATTTGACCATAGTTGGTGACTTACTCCACTGCAGTACAGACTTCCAAAGCCAATAAATAATGACGCACATGGATGATGAGAGTCAACACTCATGTGCGGTAGGACAAAGACATTCCCTATCTGGTTAGTTTCATGAAATACTTTTGAAAATGACTCTTAGAATATATCTCTAATGAAATGGCAGACTCAAGGAACACTTACAGTCCAGAGACATATCTGTCTTCAAGACTGACTATATTTTGAGTATAAGCAGCTAGAGAAAGGGAACCTATCTTCTGTCAGGTATACCTCTGCTGTTCTGCAGTCAAAAGCATCACCTGTGATCAACTAAGACAAACACTTTCAAAGATCATTGTAAGATATTCCTAGCTTTGCACTATCTGTTTGGATTTACCTCTGATAAGCCAAGTGCCCTTGCATAGTCCAATAGTTCAGTTTTTCTTCTCCGATGGATTGTCTTCAAATAGAGTGGTCTTCAAATACTAGTTTATTGTGTGAATTATCATTACATAACATATATAAATGGGCAAGTTGCGTCCCATTATAACAGTCAGCTGTTGTGATTGTTGGTTAGTAAAAAGTTTAGACAGACATTCAGAAGGACACAGGAATGGTGTATGGAATCTAAAAAGAATCTGCAAACTTTTTCTAATACCTTCCACCATGAGTAAGAAACTCAACACAATTCAAATGCCAGTTCAAAGTTCTCTGTCACATTTTTAAACCTCTTTTTTCCAGCAAGTGACTTAAGTATATACTTAATTACTTTTGAAATAAGAAGTAACACAAAATAATATTACTTTCTAATTGGCCAATTAAAAAAACACAGCTTTCTTATCTATGGACCAAATAGGTCATGGCTTGTGTTTCGTTTCTCTGTGAGAGAACACTTTTCTCTTACTTGCTCTTTTACACTCTGCTTAAGTTCCTTCAGGTAAAGACTCTCTGCATGCTGACTGAGCTACTGTATAATGCTAAGTAAACAGCTAGACCAGAAGAGTACAGGTTTCTAAACTTCACAGTCTAATGTGTAGATCTACCATTTATCCAGATCAATATAGTTGCAGTCCAACTTCTAAAACTCTTATGATCCGCCACCATGCTCCATTGTTAACAGAGAAGAGAACACCAACATAAATTCTCCCATGAGGTAAACCAAAACATACTGTTGTGAAGCTAAACAGCTAAGGTCATCACTAAGATGAATTGCTTAATTCATATTTGTAACAGAACACTACCATCAATAAAAGAACACTGCTATAATCAAAACACATTCCTCCCTGAACCAACTCTGAACACCTCCTGTAAGACACCATGTCAAGATTAATTCTTGGAATTTGTACCAAGACAAGTAGACTTCAGATTCTAGCAGGACTATTCAGATAAGAAGAGATGTCTTGCATGCATGGAAGTTGGAGAAATAAGGTATGATTTCAGAATATACAGTAATTCAGAAGAATTGAATAAAAGATACAATAATTCAGATGAACTGGAATTTCACTCATCGCGTTTAAAAGGAAAAATCATTATGATGATAACAGCATAGCCATCTCCTCTTGTCTACCATTTGCTGCATTAGGACTCTAGCTGAACTCCAACAATTATCACAGCCTTACTCACCTCTGCTGGATGCTGAATTATATACAAGCAGGTGGAGACCTTTAGCGGATGTATTGGCAGGAATGGACATAAACACACCTTCTGAGGACGGCTACATGACAGAAAGGAATGAGAGAACAATAAAAGCAATCAGCAATTTATGAAAGATGGCACAAATACATTGCACAAATACATTCTGCATCCCCAGAGGCACACTAAGAACTTCCCCATATACACACACTGTATTAAACCTGATGTAACCTCCTGTTTGAAACTCCTGGTTATAAAAACAAAGCAGCAAGGTTTTCACTGAAACAGCATTTTGAGAACAATATTCAGACCCTTCCTGTGATTTGATTAGAATTAAAGCACTCTAAAAAATCCTTTAATCATCTTTAAGAAGAGAAACTCACTAGTATGCATACCTCAATCAGAGAAGTCTGTTACTGCTTTTCATACCAAGTTAGCTTTTCAACAATTTGATAAAATATTATATAATTTATCATTGATATAATATTTATAATAATTACAAAATAAAATTTTTGAAGTGTACACACATGAAACTCCAGACATGCTATATGTATGACTAATTTTTTATAATTCCACATATGCTGAAATATGTAGTAGACATATAGTATGAAAAGAAAAAATCCTTATAAGGAACTTCTAACTTAAGGCTTGAAAAAGAAAATAAAAAAGATTTAAAATTCTTTGTTGTACTGCAAATAGCTGTTAAAATGATTATTAGGATAACTGTATCTAATTAAATTACTTTAAATATTTCTTGGTATGAAACTAATATGCTGAATGATCAAGGACAAACAGAAGCAAAGAATTAAGCTCGGAGTTATACACAGACTAATTGAAGTTGTTACACCAAACACACACATACACACACTCATGTGCATGCACAGAGGTCACTATAGCTACTTGCATATGTCATGCAATAACTCAGAATAATTAAGGATTTCCTTAACAGTGTAACTATTACCAGTATTCACCAGGTAAAGTCATACTGCCTCTAAAAACAAAGCTCTCTGAACTTAAAAAATACAAAGTCAAGATTCTCAGCAGAATGCTAGGGACTCAGAGCACAACTTCACCTGCATCCTCCTTGTAATCTTTATTGGTAACCGTTTATATCTTAGTCACATGTGAGAGACAGGATGCAACCATTGCAGTAGACGCGATTTACAGAAGTGAATTCTGAAGACAGGTCCAGATCAAGTTGGTGGTGAGCCTGACTGACACTGCACTTGCTTGTCCACAAGAACATGCACCCAGCCAAGTGTACTAAGTAAAGTTGCTGTAACTCAAGCCTGTACAACTGTTCCCTAGTCAAACATTAGCACTTACCAGTAAATGGCAGCATTATACAAAGACAATAACAAAAGATAAGCTCCTCTAACAGCTGACAGGTTGTGTTAATTTAATTCCCCTACTTCTAGCCCCAACTACAGAGACACAAAGATTATTCCCTTCTCCCTAGGGTATACAGTTAAAGGTTACCCAACAACAGTTGAAATCCAAAGCTGTGGGAGGAACAGTTGATGCAAGTGAAGGAACTGGTGCTGATCAAAATAAGCACTGGGTAAAGTATTTTAAAATATTTATACTAAAAGGCCCACGGCTATGAAATGAGCCTAATGACCAAATGGAAATTACTCTCATACACTCTTCTGGTATACTGTTCCAGTGGCCTGCTGTCTGTCTTTTGCACTTCTAGTGCTGGCATTTTCCTGTTGCTTATCCTGCCTACATTTGGCACATTCTGTTGTACTAAAAAAATAAGTACTCGTTAATTTCACTATTCAGCAGGCTATTCTGGAGACCTTCACCATGAATGAACTGAAACCAACCTTGCTTCCAGATCTGCTGGGTCTAATTTCAGAAGCTCTCCACCGCTGTACCACTGCCTTTTTTCCAAAATTTTCTCACACATAACCAATTGAAACAGAAATTTCTGAAAACAGTTTTGTTAACCTAGAAGCAGCAAATACCCCTGGAGGCTGCCTGTTGACTGTGCCCCAAGTAGTAAGTAGAAGCTCACCCTCTTTCTGATCATCAGATTTAGTGGAAACTCAATTTTGTACTAAGAGTGATTTGTTAATTTTTTTCTGTTATTAAATGGTCAGTTTCACTAACAAGAGAAGCTGTTAAAGTTCTCCCCATCATGGCATTTCCTACCGAGGAAAGATTAAGGCACAAAAATCTACTACACAAATTTGTTCCAAAACAGTTAGCTGGTGACTTCAGTCCAAAGAGCTGATTGTTCACTAGCTTCTACAAGCAGATGGAAACAGTTTCTGGTGATTTCTGACCTCAGGGTGTTTAACTATAACAAAGTTGACTAGATACAATTTACTTATTTTCAAGACTCCCTTTTGCATATGCTTTCTGTATTTTCCACATTGGCTTGGATTTTTCATGGGTAGTTTTTTAAGCTTCATTAACCTCACCAAAAAAAAATCCAAATCCCAACCCAAAAAAAGGAAATTACCCAGAAAGCAAGCATTTTCAAACAGTTACAGAATAAACTCTACGTATAATTTGATTTGTAAGGAGCAGAGCACAAGCCATGACTAATAAATTACCTTCCAATATAATTTAATTACTTACATGTGTATATACATTACTTAACTTTAAGCACCCAATTAAGTATCTAATTATGTTGAATATGTACTTTTATGACACCACCCTGGGGGCACAAGACTTATTTCTGTACTCTCACTTTGGTACCTAACAGTTACTGTGTCAGGACAAAAAAAAAAAAGTTATTCCTACATGAAACTGACTTTATGAGCCTACATCAGTCAGATATGAAGCACTGAAGAACGAGAGTTCTCTTCCACCACCACAAAAGCCACCTTTGCTCTGAGAAAGGCCACCTACACAGAAAAGGCTTTTTGTCTTTTTCTTTTGTTTAAAGATGCTGCTACAGCCTTGACCTACATATGCAGCTGACGTTACAGAAAAGTAGGAGCAGCACCAGGGAAATTATTTAATGATGGACATCAGTTTTCTCACATTTCTGGAAATTAAAGTAACAATCTGCAGGAGCTATAGTATTCAGAATATTAAGGAAAAGGTTTGTGGGTGGGGATTAGGATCTGAATGAGGATAATTTTTACAGTACTACTCACCTGTATGCAATTTCACTACAGCTCAAAGCTATCCATTGAGTTCTTACCTGTTTTTCAATACACAATTTCTCGCTTAAAAACTTATGACAAAGTAACCTGCCACATTGGTGGGAAAAAAAAATAAAATCATTCTGTGCCTTGCAAAATGTTCCATATGCAAAAGATAGCCATGCACATGCACAGACTTCTCATAGCTTTCTTTATTCACATCTAAATTAATGATGTTCAGATTCAGAATAATGTTTAGTCTATTTTCCCAGCAAAACCGAATCTTGACAGTGGACTGTGTTGTACCATGATATCAGGTTTAGCGTGATTACTAGTTTCTGGGCAAAGATACTCTAAAAGTGAATATACAGCAGCCTGGAAAATAGTGAGCTCATTCTGAAACTTCTTCCAAATCTCTGTATGATTTTCCTACAAACACAAATATCCTCACTTACTTTGGGACTAAGTTTTACCTTGTCACAACACGTCCAAAGGGCTTCTGAAAACAGGCACCATCCTGGGAATACAAATTAGTGTATTCTTACACTCATATTAAGAAGACTAAAGGTAGGTAATTCAAGGATTTAAATCCAGAGTAAACAAAGAATAACAATGTTACAATTTTATGTTCAGCATTTGTAGATATTTCTAGGGAAAAATAAAGAGGTTAAGTGTGCCAAACACATGTTCCAGAAACAATGCTTGCAATATTAAATTGAAGAGGAAGCTGATGTTTTTAAACTACTATCATTTGCAGCAACATTTTCATGTTCCAAAACATATTGCCAAGGTCAGACCTCAGACTCTGTCTTTTCAAAGAAACACACCTGCCCAAACAGAAACTGCTGCTTCAAGTAACTTACGATTTCTCTACACAAAACACAAGGGTTCAAGGCCAAAACCCACCTGAGAAGACTGGAGAGAAGCCACGAAGTTACCACATGTTTGCTTTATACTAAAGTTTTAATACATGTTTTATACTAACACAAGTCCATTACACACATGCATTAAAACAACACTCAGGAGTTTTACAAAGCTGTGTTGGAAGTTTAAAGGCACAAACCCATACGTTTTAAAAAAAAAAAATCAAGAAGTGTTATTTCTGCTAGTTTTATGTTAGAGGACAAACACAAACTAAAAATGGTTTTAAGATTACACTTTGCATCCTTCACCTTAATCACTACAGCTATAGAACGACCTTAAAACGAGTGGATTAAGTTAAACATACATAAACATAAAATGATGCATTTAGGAAGAAACAATCCTAATCCCACATACAGAAAAACCCCAGGGTCTCAGGTTAATATGGAATGACATTCAGGAGTAAGAATTTATGATAAACAGTTCTGTGAAAATGGCAGTTTAATGCCTTGCAGTTTTCAAAAATGCAGATGAGAAGTTAAACATTACTAGGAAAGGATGAAAGAATTAAACAGGGAACATTATTATGCCACTACATAAACCTCTAGTTTGTACTCATAATGAAAAAAAAAAAATGCTGAAGAAACTACGTCAAAAACAAATATGAGAAGTAATTCCTCATGCCAAGGGCCACATATCTCTTTGCTAACCAATGCTGTGGATACAAGAACTTTACATGGCTTCAAGGGAAACTGAAAAAATTGTGAAATAAAAATCCATCAGACATGGAAGCAGCAACAGTGAAGGTATAAAGCCACAGCCAACCCAGGAAGTCCCCTGAGCTAAAGTCAGCTGGAGTAAGGAGAGAAGTATCAGCATATGCTTACCCTTTCTTCTTTAGATATATGCATACACTCATTACTACCTACATCTGTTCACATCTGGTGACAGCACACTATGCAAATGGACCTTTAATATGCTCTAGTATGGCCATTCTTCTATTCTCAGTCATTCTGCACAATTTGAAATGAATGCACGTAACACCAATTGCAGTGGCTTGACATTACCTAGATGTAATTTTTTACTTCTTGTATTCTAGCTCTAAAATTTGTCTGTAGGT